GGGGGGGGGGGGGAGGGCAATAGAGCAACTTGGTGGGTACCTGGCATTTAGCCAAGGTCAAACTACCACAGCACAACAAATGTGCTAAACACCACCCCATATGAAGTGCTCCCTAGTCAAAAACTTGTTTGAAAATTGAGAAGAATAAAACCAAGTGCAGATTTTGGACAGTATGACACATAGAAACTGTTCTTCAGACACAAGCACTATCCTTCATCATTGAGCTCTAGCACCTCCTTCCCCTAATAAAATGGGCCTGCCAAGAAGAGTCACATCATACATGTACTTTAGTTTTGGGTTGTTAATGGATATTGATATTGAAACTGTGCAAGTGTCAGGGACTCAGATGAATGTAAAAAGGCTGATGGCCATGTGATTAGCAGTCAGGAAGAGTCTGATCTATGGGCATTTGTGCAAACTTAGCAATCATATACATGGCATTAAATGGAAAGAGAAGGAAACATGGAGGGATGGAAGGGAAGGGAGAAAGGGAGAAAACTCCCATACAAACTGTGAGATGTCATCTTAGCCAAAGCTATGTTAGTACCTAAAGCTAAAGACAAATTTACACTTGATGCTGATCAATCACTGCTAATAAAGAGTATCTAAATTCATGAGCAAATTAATGGATTCTAGGAAAGCTCAATAAATTCATTTTGGAGAGTTGAGGTGTACATGAAGAGGTCAAGAGATACATGTTGTACTTGGATTTAGATAAGCACCATGTTATTCTGCTACATATTTTCTGAATTCAGTGGGTCCAGTTCTACTCTGATTAATGTGCACGGTTTTACCACTTGTATACAAATCCACAACAAAAATAGTATGGGAACAAGAACAAAGTGAAGAACAAATGCAAAATTGTCCAAGTTATGAGCTACACTAGCATGGAATGAGCACAGGTCTGGTTACATGCATTTGTCACAGGGAAAGATACAGCAACACAGAGAATAAAATCTTAAAGTGAAACCTGTGAGTGAGTCCCTTGGTGCAAACAAACCGAGAACTTTGTGCGTCTGCTCTTCACCATAAAGAGGAACGAAGCCTACAGTTCCCAATTTAATGGTAACCTGAAATGAGAATGTACAATACTTAGACTCTTACTAAAACAACATTAGTAAAGAATACAAAGAACGTTTAGCAGGGTAAGCAACATGAATGTTGAAAACAGAGTACTTAACTGTAAAGGACAAGCATTAGACTCTGGGCCTTACTTTAGGCATTTCTTCCTAAAGACAGACAACATAAGAGCTCTAACCATCATGCTCTGGCAGATTTAGGTACAGTAATTTATACTGTTACAGCTCTCTAACGTCAGCAGTTTACATTTATGTGCACAACTGAAGTAAATTGTGCAAAGAGCCAGCAGTGTCTTCAACTTTCCCACCTATGCAAGCTGTCAAAGACAACAGAAGAATGAGGCAGGCAGTCAAGCACAAAAAAACCTGCCCAGCAAAACTACTGTTTGTTAACATGAGCCCTACTGTGCTACAGTGGAAAGGCTGGATTCAAAAGGATTTTCTTCCCTTAAATCACACACATTTTAGAAATTCCAAAGTTGCCTGCTTGATTTCCCTTCAGGAACAACATAAGAAGGGTCAAATCAACCTACCTTTCAGGAAGTGACTACCTTTGTGGAAATGCATTTTGATCTTTAAATTCACATTTTCAATACTTAATGCATAAAAACTAGACAGACAGTAATGGTATGGTAAATAGACTTGCTTACCAAATTTGAGAAGATTATGATATGCTATGCCACAAATGAGGATGTTAATACAAACAAATATTTAGGCATACAGCACCTGCAGAAATGCAGGAAAGCACTCAATACTCTGCTTCTGCCAAGAAATCTGCAGCACTGACCTTTTGTTCACAGAGAGTCCTCTCAGGTAACTAACTTTTCATTAAAGCTATACCCCACTGCTTTTATTAGTACTAGTTATAATAGAAATGTTTACCTAGATGCAACCAATATTGATCAATTTATCATGCAAGAATTACTTCTAAAATTATTGAAATATGCTTATCAAGAATTGAACCCAACCATGAAGGATGCTTAACATATACAAAGAGAGCCAGTGAGCTTCAGTAAAACATGACCCCCCTAGTTATAATGACAGATTTTTGTGACTGCGTGAGTTAGTGCTTTTTAGGGAATAGTTTGACTCATCAGTTGAAATTTTAAGGGTTTTTTTTTAAAATAGCTTAATGCATAGAGATCCATTGCCTAGAAGCATCATAATCACTGATGCCCAGATTTAAACCCTATTACAGAATGAAAAAAGTAGAGCTTAACACAAACAGTAATTTGGAAAAAAACAAAAGCTTTGCTAAAATAATTATGTAATTCAATAGTTATGGACTGGATACTGTAAATCTTTTAAATCTACATGTATATCAAGAAAACTAGGACTAAAGTATTTGCTGGTTCTTACTTTGCCATGGCCTGGCAGAGACAGGAATTCACAATGGTTTGGATCCTGATGCCGAAGGTCAGACAAGTAGCCCTCTGCTGAGCTCTCCAAGTCCTCATGACTGAAGGTGTTCAATATATCCACAGGGAACGACATCCTCTTAAGAAATAAGCAACATTATTACTATGAGTAGTTTGAGAGATATGATGCACAGTTTATCATATATTCCTACAAAACATGTAACTAAGACTAATGAGCACCCACTTTCTGCTACTCTCTGGTGTCCTCTATATCCAAGCCACATAGGAGAAATGCTCCAGACATTTCATTAGGATGGTGCCTATTAACACCCAGTCTCTAAAATAGTACATGACCCTAGACTGTGTTTGTAAGCAGAAAAGGATAGGCTTAGCCCACAGATCCCTCTAGACCCAAACGTGGCAGATTTCCAACATACAAACCCCTTGTTTGCAGCACATGTACAATAGGCCACATGCTGCCTTGAGGTGGCAGGCTCAGTTAATGTCCCTGATATTTTTGAGGCCACAGATTAAGCAGTAAGTGTCCAGTCAAACAAAAAGTAAACAGCCCAAAGGATAACAACAATAAAGAGCATTTATTTTGAAGATTTTGTATTTAAATCCATCTCTGAAGAAGCCAAAGCATTGTTCAGAACTTCTCTCAACAACTGGCCAGTTAGTGTGACTACCAGCTGGTTATTTCCAAAAACTCAAGAGCCCACAAAAGACTAGAGACACTTGAAGGTGAGAAAACAAAAACTAGAGCACTGAAGACCAACCACAGTGGCAATAGCTCCTTGAAAGCTCTTAGATTCAAATGTTACTTGTCAAAACAGTGTCAAATTAAGATGAAAAAGAGCTCCTGAAATCTACAGTGTGCTCTTTAGCTAAGGCTCTTCCAGTTCTATAGAACTATACACACAAACAGACCTCTCAGCTCCTTTCAAGCTACAGCCCAAAATTTCATAAGCATGAGCTACCGCAAGCTCTTGAGAACCTGTTCTGGAGGAACACAAGATCTCTTGATGTGTCATTCAAGTTGCAGGAACTCATCACCCAGCTCTCAAAACCACAATGCTCTTCACAGTGGGTTTACATTTCCTGCATGGAGTCTTTCTTAAAAAAAAATTTTAAATCCTAGTCTCCAATTTTTTCCTTTATCTCCAGCCCCTTCCCTTTAATCCACCAGTCAGTGTTCTAGTGACACAGGTAAATCCAAAGCAAAATAAATTTTTATTTCAACTCACCCAGCAGCAATCAAAAACTCTGCATTTTAAAAGCTTTTTAACAGCAAGAATATACTGCTATTAAGTTGCTTGAATAGATGACACTGTCTCTTCTACAAAAGAGATTTTTTTTTCTCTGTTAAAAATGAAAAACTTGGACAGGAATTCATCAGCATTTAAAACTGCTAGCTTTATTGCTTTTGCTGATGAAAACACTAATGTCTTCCATGAATGCTACTGCTTAAATACATACATGCATTCCCCACAGCCATTTCTGTTCGAATTCAGCTCATTCCTTTCCCTTCTCTGTTATTTGGATATTCTTTTGCCTTCTCTTCCAGTCTCCCACATTCCTCCTATTGCTCACTGTCCCTTTCAGATGCTTAGATGCATGTCTTAATTCTCCACCTGTTTCTGTCCATCTTCCAGCTGCCCTTGCTAACAGGACAGAGGGACAAAAGAGGCACCTGACACCAGCCAACTCAATTTGTTCCTCCTGTTTGCAAAAGGAGGGATTTCAAGAGCCAAAGATGAGGTGTGTGTCTTTGACTGCAGCAGCAATGCACAGCAGCCAGAAGACCTCCTGTCAGGTTAGAAATTAACCACTGTTGCCCTCCTCACCTCTAGCAGATATGGTTTACCCACCTGTATTACAGTTCTGAAACACACCAGCAATACTGTAGTACACAAATAGACTAGCTTGATATAAGTACATTGCAAGAGGAACAGAAAGAGAGGTGAAGTGTGAGATTATGCGTCACTGCTTCTATAGGAGGATGAGGCTTTATCACCTAGTTACCTGCAACAGGACAGGTAAATTCTGCTTTAAGGGAATACAGACATGTGAAAAACACTAAATGTCATCCTCTGCATGCTGGTAGAAAAGGGAAACACCCCCCCCTCCACTATTAAATAAATACCTAAGTGCTTGGATAACTCTGAGAATAACAGATAAATTGAGCTGAGCTTTTGTTACTACATGACAAACAGACAAGCAAGCCACAAGCTACAACTGAAAGCCTTTAGGTAATAATTCCTGGCATTTTTTAAGAATAAAATAACACAAGATCAAAGCAGAGAACATGCAATAAGAAATTCAGTAGATATCTGAGTTCCAACAACTACACCACTATGAGAATAAAAGCAACAAACATATCTTTGCTTATAAACAAAAAAAGGCAAAAAAAGTCTTTTCTGCTGATTAATAAATTCACTGAACTACCCTCAAAACCATTCCTTTCTGTTTAGTTGTTTGGGTCACTTGATATTGTAACAGTTTGATTTTTATCCACTCATATTAGTCACTTTTGACTTTTCATCTTATATCATTTACAGAGAATGGGTTATGCAGAAAAACTCAATACAGAGCAATCTTCAAGACTGAACCAAAGAAAACCTACTCAGCATCCCTGTTAAATAACCGTATATTATTTGTACAATGCAGTAAATTAGACATGTAAAGTGATAACCTTAAAGTGATTACCTTAAACATTGAGGTAATGTCTCCATGTTGATGAGATCAGAAATATTTCACAACATAAATTCACTAGATCCCTGAAGAAATCAGTAACTATACACTGAAAGTTAAAGTTACATTAAAAGCATTGAACAGGTAACAAAAGAAGAATGTTGCATGCCAATCTACAGCACAGCATAAGGAAATAGTTCAACAGTTCAAATTGCAAACATCTTCATTTTGAAAGGCAAAATAACCTACCAAAGACACACCAAATGATTTCCAATAGCAATACATTAATACATTTCCCTCACAAAACCATAACTGGTTTGTCAGTATCTTAAAGTACAGATGGCTCCACATCTAACCAATCTCAGGTAATGCTGGAGAGAGAAAAAGGGAAGGGGAAAATAGCTTTTTAATTTTACTTGACAAAAGCATTACACATTTTTCTCCAAAGAGGCAGCAGGAACAGAACAGGTCTCTAGCACAGTCTCTCATGCCCCTTTTTGTTGCTCTAAGCCTCTATGTGTTGCATGACTGTAAAACTGTCAGGTCAAATCCTTGTCACACATTGTGGAACTGTGCTCTGCTCATGGGATACCACTCCCATTAGTTAGCAAACTATCAGGTTGACCAAGCACACATGATGTAGCCTTAAGCAACCAAACTCATCACGACTATTTGTACAAAAGGTGTGTCAGAAGTGTATGTTTGGGAGGGTATACAATTTATTTTTCAGTTGAGGCAAATTATACTTTTCATGTTTCAAGAAAATAAATCTTACACTCCTCATAACCACATCATTTTACATAATAGTATTAAAGATTGTACATAATACATTCACATTTGCTTTAATGTGGAATCATCTGACTTTCCTCCTTGTCAACATTACGCAAGTTACTATGCATGAAAAGGCACATCCTTTCTTAGGAACAGCTGCAGCACCAGAGGGTAACAGAGATCAATTCAAGGAACACCAACAAAAACCACATTTAAGTGGATGAGTGAACACATTCCTGTGCAACTGGGGCAGTTCCTTATTCATAAAATCTCATAAAATCTTTATTACTATAAGCATTAAGGTTAAAAAAAAAAAAAACAAACCTTAAAATGGGCAACAACGCAAGTTGTTTAGTTATAAATTATAGTGCAACCCCTAGTTTATCTTAGAAGTGCATGAAGGAGAGATAGATGCACAGTATATGCAGCTTCCAGCTCACACACATGGATTCCAGCAGGAATTGAGAGATCTGTTCATCCCCTTACACACATTCAATACTGAGTGTCACAAAATAGCAGAAAGATAAGTCAAAAGCTATATTGTTTCTTAGCATGTCAGAGGGCCTAAATACAGCTTAAAAACTGGTTTTGGGTGCCTTTATCTTAGGGGAACTGAAGTCTAAGTGGTTAGGCTGCCAGCCAAGGATTTAGAAGAATCAGGATAAATTTCCAGCTCTAGCACTGACATGTTACTTGATCTGCCTGAACTCCTCATCTAGAGGATGCGAATGTTACCTCAGAGACCAGTTTGACAAATACTTTACAGAGATCATGAGATACTAGAACACAAAATTGTACCAAAACTTCACAAGTAGTGGAAGTAGACAAGTGCTTACATAGCACAATTTAAAGGCAAAATTTGCTGTGCAATTAAGTAACAAAAACAAAAACCCCCCAAAAAACCACAAACAATCCACCAAGGACTGGACAGATAAACATGCCTACTACAAAAATATGTGCAAAACTAATTCAACAGCTACATAAGCAGGTGCACAATCTTCAGGTTTAAATTTGTGTTTAACAAACAATTATAATTTAATTTTCATGCAGAGTAGGGGAGTGTGGGTGTTCATTAAAATCTGAAGTTTAGAGAACAGACACAGGGGTGCTCAAGTTATGACCTGCAGAACTCTTCTGCTAAACCAGGTCAACTAATCCAGCCCCAGCCCATAGGACACATATCAGGTCCAGTTCTGTGATGAAGTACTGATCTACTCCAAGAAAAAGTAAACCACAGTAGTGCCTGACCTGAACTTTAAACAAGTGCCGAAGTACTGGATCACAAACTCCTCAAGGACTGCCATGCCTGTCTTATGAATCACCACACACCTTGAACCAAGTTCAATCTTAACAATACAACCCTACCATGATATCCCAGAGTAGCTATAAGACATCTGGGGCAGCATCATGAAGAGACATAAATAACTAATTCTATTATCTTCATATATACACTAGATGCTGATGTTCCAGAGAAAAAGCCAGGAGTGCATAAGTCCAACATAAGTCCAAGACATGCTCCAGAAACAGATCTGATGCACCAAACCAGGAACCTTCTCAGTCAAAGCAGCCGGAATATAATTTCTGGTTTGCTATGTTAGTCTCCCACCTTGCAATGTCCAATTGCCGTTTTGGTGAAAGCTGTTAAACTACACAGAAGTGGGAAGAAAAAAAAAAAAAAAAAAAAAAAAAAAAA